CAAAAGAACAACATTATCTGTATAAATATTCAGTAAAACTGTACTAGTTGTTTTCGCATCAACATTGTTCTTGCTGGAATTACAAATTAAAATGTTCTAAGTGGTATTTTTCCCAGCAATTGTTTTGTTGTATTTTGTTCTGGCTTTAGAATTAAAATATAACACTTTGGAGCAAAAATGCAAAGCAACTAAGCAAAACTGGAGGCCAGAATTGCAAATATCTCCACAGCCACAGTAAACTTCCCCGGAGAGCTGACATATGCTGGGATGAAGGCAATCCAGACTGCACAGAATATCAACATACTAAATGGGATCAGTCTGGCTTCATTAAAGCTGCCTGGCAGCTTTCTTGCCAGAAAAGCAAATATAAAACACAGGACAACAAGAAGTCCAATATAACTCAATACAGTCCAGAACCCAAGAGCAGAACCAAGTGCACACTCTAAAATAATTTGGTCTTTATAGTCCTGCATATTCTTAATTGGAAATGGGGGATTTGTTGTCAACCAGCGTGTACAGATTAAAACCTGTATGAGAGTAAAACTGAAAATAGTTAGCCTTTGCTGTGGAGGCCCATACCATTTAATCACTTTACTGCCTGGAACTGTTGCTTTGAGTGCTATTGTTTTCCGCAGAACACTGGAAATACAGATGACGTGCTGTGTGTCGTAGCATGCAGGACCAATGTGTGGGTCGACCAATGAAGGTCAGAGGGCAAAGAAAACACAGTTTTAATGAAAACAGCATCAGGAAGCTTAACTCAGAATTGTTTGCGCTTACAATGGAGGTATCTTTATTAGTACAAAATATGTTTGAAATAAGAGAGCATAGAAACATGCCAAAAGTTCTAATTCCAGTAAGAAATGCCCCCATGATCTCTTTGTAGGAAAGGTATTCAATGCGTTTTGGAATACATTTGCTCTTCTCCTCATTGGGCCAAAATTCAAGGGGACAAATCAAGCATTCAAGAGAATCTGCAAAGATAATCAAATAATAATGAGATTCAGTGGAAAAAAGGACTTAGTTTCCTTTCATTGCTGTCTATTTTATTTTTTATTTTTTGTATTTACAAATATTTTCACCTCTTTAACCTGGACAGAAAAAAGCAGGTAAATATAGTAGATGGGTAGATAGATGGCTGGGTAGATAGGTAGATATATTTGCACCAGTCTTTACCATATTTAACTCACTTTTCTGATTACTGATAGTTCCTTCAGGGCACTCACTGCAATCAAAGCAACATACAGGCTTATTCTTCTTTAGTGCCTTTAGGGTCCCTGGGGTACAGGGTTCTCTGCAGACAGACTTTGGCACCTGAATAGTCAAAATACATATTGCAAAATCTCAAATACACAAATAACTATAACAAAATACAGTATTTATCTGTTAAAAAAGCAAAGTTTTATCAAAATTGCATATAATTACCTCATTTCTGTCACCCGACCAAACTATCTTGGCATCCTCTTTTAGTTTTAATTTGTCTTTCATCTAGAGAATCATCATATTGTCCAATTTGTACTATTTCAACTGAACCATTTTCTTTAATCTGTCAGTTGACAGGGTCATACTGGACAACGGAGTCACCGTTTTCATCGAAGAAACTTCTTCTCTGAAATATGAGACTTGTGTGTAGTCACTGATGACTGTTTGTAGATTTTCTGCACCAGTGCACATTTT